TATTGATTTTTTTTCATGATATATAGTGCAGCTTTCTTAGTGTGTCTGAATGTGAACTGAGCTTAATATTAGGGCTGCATGATACGAGGAACAAAAAGCTAGATTTGATAACTAAGTTTTCCATTGTGATAACAATATTATTGTGTTATTTGAATGTACGTTTTGGCACAATAAGTTCAATTACTGCATTATATTGTGCAGCTTTCTTAACATGTCTCCTTTAATCTTTCTTTGCAGTGGAAACCCCAACACCAGGTGTGACCCTCGGAGCTGCTCCCACCACATCCCTCCATAATGTGACACCAGCACAGACGACACAAAGGACACAAGAAGCATCTGAAGTGACGAGCTCACAGCACAACTCATCCACACTGTCTGGTAGCTTCTGAAAAATGATGTTCACAATTACATCTGCATGATTTGAGTTTCACTGACACTTCTGAACACGTCTCTTTCAGTTGTGCGGCAGTATGCTGCTGTGAGTGTAAAGGCCATTGTGATTATTGTATCAGGGAGTATTTTGATTTGGTGCTGGAAAAAGAAAACCAATAGACCAACAGGTGAGCCACACTCCAGTGAAAATAATGCACTTTTTTTTTTAATCTGTCTGGTTCATTTAACACTTTTTTACAGAAGATCCAACTGCTGCTGATGACTGTGAAATTCCAGAGGTGAGCCAATACAAATAAAATAGAAATGAAATACTCCTTGGAGGAACTGTATGTTTTCTGCACTAACACAGTTTTTAAAAAGTACTTAACAATCCCAACTGAACCTGGTGCCGTTGTCTTAACCTGCAGACAGGACACATACAAGAAGTAGTGATTCTTTTAGTCAGACAGGAGTTTGTTTACTGTCTTTACATGTTTCAGTTACTTCCTGTAGCAGCAGAGGCTGCACTAGCACTGATTCATGATTGGCTGTAGGTGCTGGGTTTACGTAGGATTCAGATCAGAGAAAGTCCTGTTCTGAAATCGTCAAATAGCTCTGAATAATGCGCTGAGTGAGGAAGGCGTTAGGAAAATAGATATTGTGCCTTAGAAAACCATTGAGTTTGAAGTTTGAAGTTTGGCTATGTGCTAATGTGATACTTCCGACTGCTGTGAAAAAGGTCTGTGGGACACTGGAGTTTTCAACTGTGGAAGTCAGCGGACTTGTCTCTTTCATTACAACATGTTTGATTAATATTGTGATTTAAAATGTTCAAATTATAACATAATGTCCCAGAGGTGTCAGAGATTAAAACTATGGAACAGAAATAAGAACAAGGACAAAAACGTCTTTCAGTTTTAATAACTAACATTTTACTAGACAAGATTGTAGCTTTTTCACAATGTGTTAAACCAAAAATGAATGTTTTACAGATGAGCAGAGTGTATGAGGAGATCCCAGCTCAGATCACACCAGGTCCTGTGGAAAACTGTACTTCTTTTTCTTCCTCCCACCAGAAAACCACACAGACGGTCTACAACTTGGCCTCCAGTGCACAAGCACAGGTAAGAAACTGAAGTGTCACCCACAACACTAAAGTGTATTTCACAGATCAGACTACTTACTGTATTTTTCAGACTATAAATTGCTCTGGAATGTAAGTCACACCAGCTAAAAAAAGCGTAATGAAGAAGAAGAAAAAAAAAACATTTAAGTTGCACTTTTTTGGGGAAATTTATTTAATGAAATCAGAGACCAGGAACCGATATTTCATCTTGAAAGACAGTTGTAGTAATCACAACAGAACAGAGAACAACAGACTGTTAACGTCACATATCAACAGTTCTTCAGATAAACTATAACATAAACAACAGAACAGAACAAGTTTAACAAACTCTCCATCTCACTCCAAATCACTAAATCCATTCAGTTCTTCATCCTCGGTGTCACTTCTGAACAACTCGGCCTCGACCTCCGGAGGTAAACAGAGCGACGCTTCCTCGCTCAAAATCCTTCAGTTGTCTTGAAAAACAGTTTATATTCGTTAGCTCCGGCTCCGCTCTAGCTCCTCTCGCTCTGATTGGTCAAAACGATCACGTGATACACGAGACCGCGCTCCGTGCGTGTTGCCCGTGGGAGAAAAGACACTACTGCACATGCTCGGTCGGCCCACGGCCACCGGAAGAACCGAGCCATGCTAGGCTAATCTGGGATCATGAGACATTGAGCTCTGCACATTAATTTGAATGGGCGGCCATTTTGGAACCTGTGGCTTGACACTGTCTTGTTCGGTCCTTCCAGAAGCACATGTCACAGGTGTTCACACGTCTCCAACTGACAAGTCATATCAAGAGTTAAAATCATTATATATAAGATAACAACACATAGAGTAATAACAGCGCTTTTACTTTGTATGTCATGTTTTATAAGATTATATAGTTTAACACTGAGGTTTAATCTGAACACACTAAGATCCAAATCAGTGCAGTCTTATGTCTTGAACACTTCTACCTCACTCATGGTCCGAATACACCGCCTGAAATGACTCCTGTCAATACTTTCCCATAAA